TCCCCCCCCCCCCCCTTTTTTTTTTTTTTTTTTTTTTTTTTTTTTTTTTTTCTTTTGAACTTTTCTCAAAACAATTTCTGTATTCCTCAGAGTATCCTAAAAGTGGGGTTCAAACATTTTTCCAATAACCTGGATCAGTTACCCACAGTTAAACAAAAATCCATAATCCATGACATAGCAAGGAAAAAAACAAAAAACTATTGCATGGGCTGATTATGCATTGGAAATTTGACCTGTCGGATTTTCAAAAAAAAAAAAAAAAAAAAAAAGGTGGTTTTGCAAATGTCCAAAGCCATCGTCTTCATACAGAAAGCAGGAGCTAACTTCTGAATAGAGAACATTGGCGGCATTCTGACAAGATTCTAGACTTGTACAAAGGTTGTAATATGAAATGTTTCATTTCTATTTCAATTTTATAAGATTTTTATAATACATGTCCTTCCTTTTTCTCAAAGGGGGCAAAAAAGGAAGAAAAGAAAACTGTTCCCTCATAGCCTTCATATATTAATAGTTGCATAGTTTATAACATTAAAGCTAATTTGAATAACAATTTAAGTTTTTGCTACAATATATATATATTTTTTTTATAAAAATTCAAATTTAACCATTTTTTCTACACTATTTTCTTTTATATAAATTCACTTTTTAACTCAAATTCTTAACTGAAACGAACATAAATTTACTTTTTAACTCAAATTCTCAATTAAAATGAGCAAAATGATTTCAACAAAAATTCTCAATTGGAACAAGCGAAACGAACGGGCCTAAGCATTTTGAGATTGGGAATGAATGAAATATTGCACGCTCAAGTTTAGTTTAAGACGAGGTTGACTTTCACAAGAATTACACGAAAAAGCTGCTCAAGAAGCTGCTTATTACACAACACTTGCCGGATTACTGGCTGGTCTCACATGAAAGCCATGCAGTAATTGAAATGAAAGTTAACAAAGTCTTGAGATTCTCAAATGTAATTATGAAACTAAAACCTCATCACCCGCGACTTAGAATTCCAAAAACCATCAGAATTTCCGAGACATAATCAATACGTTATTGGGATTTTAACTACAGTAGTTACACATAAGATAATAAAATTAAAAGCTTATCTGCCATGATAAGGTTAATAGCAGAGTAGCTTTATTTTTGTCAAAATCAGATGTAGAGTGGACAAAGCTCATTTGTTGATCTGTTATTCATGACATGACAGAAAAAAAAAAAAAAAAAACAAACAAATTCATCGATGCTTACAACTTGCATGTTAAATTTGTAATTGGCTTCAAATATTTATTTTGGATGTGATCCGTCAGTAATGTCGAGCTATGCAAAAAAGCAAGAGAAGCAGAGAATCAAAATCGGCAAACTCGATGATAAGAAAGCTTCTTTTTGTCTAATTCTAAACGTCAATCATACAGCTCCAGAATTACTAAAAGAAAACTTCAGGAAACTAGGGCATAAAAACTAAAAGATACTATAAGAAAACTTGCTATTTCCCAATCAAAGCATTAATCGAGCAAAAATCCAGGCAATAAAATGGGACTAAGGAGATAACTAGTAGTACAAACAGCAAATGGAAGAAAAACTCCAACAAGAAATCACCGCCCTCTTGCAAGAGCTTCGTCCAACTCCTCGTGTGATGACGGAAACAGTTCAATGTAACGACTCCCTAGAGTCATCCTATCCTTGGCCATTGCCGCTTCAGAATCTTCTGCATTTGCAAACTCAACAAATGCTTCCCCAGTTGGCCTTCCTTCTGAATTCATAGTAAAATGGATCGAGTCTTCTGACAATACAATATCCTTGAAAAAGTCAATTATATCATCCTTGCCGGCAGAAAATGGTAATCCCCTCAACCTTAATACTCCTGTATGTTCAGCGGAATCCTTCCCTTCGTCATAAGATTTGGACCTTGGTATATTTCGGCGAGGGGAACCACCACGAGCGTCAAAAACTTCACCCGCTATTGCCTTGTAATATTCCTGCCTCTTACTTCTGAACACTTCAACATATCTCCTGCCCATGTTCTGTCTATTCCTTTGAAGTGCAAAATCAACCTGAAGAGGATACCCGAAGACACAAAAAGCTTCACCAGTGAACTTTCCATACTTGTGGACAAAAAGAACATCAACTATGTCCAGACCGTGGAAGAACTCAGCCACGTCAGCTTCTGCACAATCAAATGGAAGGCCACGCAGTTTGACAACAGGGAAAGGCGGAGGCTGTCCTACATAAGCAAAAGTGGCTGGATTGTACATAAAACTTGGACCAGGGGAAGTCCCATAAAATGAAGAACCTTGTTCAACTAGCCGCTGACGCTTTGCACCCATTTCACGCCCATCCCCACCATCAGGATATTTACTTTATTTTGGAGTAATCAAGAATGCAGCAACAAACACAACAACAAAATTAAGCATAGACAGTAAAAAAAATAAATAGCTTTAATCAAACGCATATAATATGAATACAAATTATCTTTTCCTCATTAAGAAACAAAGATCTATGATTCATAAACTAAGTGAAGAGACAATATCAAATGCAGTTTCTCTGGAGATCTATATCATCACAAAGTGAAGCTTCAAAAGCAGATGACTCTGATACTTATAGGCATATCAGCATCAATTGAACAATCCCCATGACACGTCATAACCATTTCAGATGAACACGTTGATTGCTCTACCGTGAATAACAGCATTGCTTCTTATTGACATATGCATGTGAATACGTAAGCAAGGTTAAGAAAAGAAAAAAAACAAAGACGGAAACTTGAGACAGTAAACGCTAGGATGGACACTTGTGTTTTGGCTCTTGAGCAATTCTACATTTCAACGAACAGATTACCTCTTTATCACTTGCTTAAAGTTCATAACACGTGTTTTTTTGTTTTTTTGTTTTAGTCAATTTAAACAAGACGACATCCAGATTATAGGTTTCAATTACTTTCAAACTCTCATTAATACTTCCCAATACAACAATGTAACCACATCGAAAAATTCCCCCGATTAATTTTATAGATGCACAATTTAACACCCAGTTGTAAGCTTACAAGAAGTTTATTTCCTCAACTGAAACCTCAAATGAAGAAAAATAAAAACGCCCAAATTCCAAGCACGAATCTCTAGTTTAAAGAATAACAATGACACAAAACATAAGTAACCAAATTTGGGTTTTGGGTTCATCACCTATTCATATAGTCATTCATATACGATTCTTTTTCTTGATGCTAAAGAAGATTGGCCAAAAACACCCGAAACAGAATAATTTACGTCACAAAAAAAAAAAAAGAAAAGAAATGACCCACAATCTTTACAAATCCAAACGAATAACGTATTGACCCACATATTAACCACAAAACATGAACTTAATTCAATCTTAATTTATTCAAAAACAGAAATTCAGGAAGATAGCATCAACAAAAACAATCGGCAAAAGCGTAGAGGAAAACAAGGGGATTAATTACAAAACCGATAAAAAGAAATTTCAAAATACCAAAAAAATAACTAATCTAAATTGGACGAAGCATTAAGAAAGTATGAAAGAAAGAAATCTGAATCCGAATCAGACGGAAAAAGAGGAAAAAAAAAACGAAATCGAATCAGCAATTAGATTAAAGAAAAAAATGGCTTACCCTCTGTAGAACATTCTATTTGGTATCGTTTTCTTTTCTAACAACTCCTTCAATTTGTTTCCACTTTCCGAAAATCGTCCGTAAAGAAAAAGTACTTCAAAGCTTAGAGCTTTCTTCTCTGTGTGTCGAGAAGAGAGAGAAGAGAGAGGAGAGGCCTTGTCTCGAGAAATAGCCAAATTTGGGGACGCCGATGAGCGACGGCCTTTCGGAGATTAAAACGACGTAGTTTTTATGGTGTGGGTTCTTTTACATTTGGGCTTGGGCTATTGGGCTTAGAAAAGAACTTTATGATTGGGATCCAAGTTTGTTAATTGGGCTACTAAGATTGGGCCATATTGAGAAGTTAGGCCCAACTGCAATGTAGGCTTTCCGTGAAGTAGGGTCAAAATTGGCAATTTGTATTAGTGAGTTTTGTTTGTGTCAATTTATTTATTAATTGTGTCATAAAATATCAATTTAAATATGACATGTTTATTAAACGTGTTAAAAATATCATCTTAAACACGATTCATTTATTAATCGTGTCAATCCGTATAAGCCTTTTAAATTAATATATTGAATAAATAACTAATATAATAATCAATTATTTAACACGACCAAGACATGTTTAATATATTTATTGGTCAATTTATCTTTTTCTTTAAGAAAAATTAATGAATTTTGCCTATAAATATTAAATTTCACATTATTTTTATTTAATATGTCATATAAACTTTCATATTATATCACATGTCGTTAGATTGCAGATGACACGTATAGTTAATCGTGTCAATTCGTGTTAGGAGGTTAACCATGACTCAAACAATTTATTAATTGTGTTAATCGTATCAACCCGATTATGACTCAAATCCATTTATAGTAAACCCAAACTACTAATTTTGTACAGATTTCAAATCGTGTCGTCATATCACTATCCGAATTCTAACCCTAATCAAAATTAAATAGAGAATTACATGTTTTAAATCACCACACCTCCTAATTCATTCTTTAAAAAAAAAAAAACTACCCCTCTTAATATTTATTGATATTTTAAATAAATGTAAAAAACTAAAATGCCCTTTAATTCTAAACCCTATTTCGTAGACATTTAGTTGACAAATTTAAAATTATTCTCAATTTACATATATTTTTTTATGAAAAAAATATTATAATAAACCACAAATTATAATTATACGAATCCTCGTACAAAACACGAACCTCTCAGCCTCCATTCTCTCTCTAAAACAACAAATATTTCAGATCAATCTCTCGTTCTCTCTCTCTACCTTCGTGCTTCTCATGTTGGAGTATTTTTATGTAGACTTCTATAATCATAATAATTCACTCTGTAATTAATTAAAGCATCTTATGAACGACTGTGTTAATGTGAATTAACACATGCATATACATTAAATATCGGTCTATAATAAAATGGATACTTATTTTATTAACTCACTTGACATTTAAATTCTCTCTATCTCATAATATTTAGTCAACCTATTAGATCAAATACATTCTCTAATTAAATATTGGTTAGAACCAATATCACCACCCTATCTCATTTTGCTCCATTGTGGAGCGACCTTTTGTTTTATTGGGTGTGCTCGTGTGTGTGTGAGTGTGGCCGACCAAAACAGAGAGGGAGAGACAGGGAGGAGTTCATGCTCCTCTTGCCATTCTTTCCCACGTTTGCAGGTCCTCCACTCCGACCGGTCATTGGCGGATTCCGGCGACCGTGGACGAGCTGTTTCCGCTGCCCACCGGAAGAAGTATGCCTAAATCCCAACTAAGAAATTTTTGTGGCATTTTCGGATTTTAAGCTAGATTAGTGTTTTTGATCTTGTTTAGATCATGTTTAGATCGTTTTAAATCTAGCATCTCACCACCTCATCTCTCTCTCTCCATTTTCCTTCTCCTACCGCCGGAGCTCACGCCCGCCGTCGATCCTCGCCGCCGTCATATCCTGCTCATCGCGCGAGTCTATCTCATTTCTCCGCGACTAGATATGACTTCGCCGATCCGAGACCTCGCCGGATCTTCGAGTTTGCCCGCATCGCCGTGGAGTTGTCGTGCCTTTACGGATTGCCGACCTCGAGCGCCAGATTCAGGCCATGGGAGGCTTTGAGGCCGTGGCGGGCGTCGCGGCTCAAATCCAGGCTTTAAGGGCTAGAGCCTGATCGCCGAGAGCGGGTCGAGAACGAGTCAGATCTTTTTGGAGGAGAAGAAGAGCGCGGAAGAATATGAGGAGAGAGAGAAGGAAGTAGTGGTGGTGGAGAAGGCGGTTAGGTTTTCGGATGGAGAGGCGGCGAAGACGACCGGGAAGAAGACGAGGAGTGCTCTGAGGATGGATCGGAAGGAGAAGAAGTTCGAGCTCTGCAGGTCTGCTCTTGTAATCTGAAATCAAATTTCAAATGCGAGTTTTTCTATAATTATTTTGTTGATTACTCTTTTTATGTGTTTATTCATTTGATCAAACAGCAGTTCAATGTAAATTTTGATCCTGAATGTCCAAAAAAGAGCAGAATTTTTAGGGTTTATGCCATCAATATTGTAGTTGATGATTTCTGGATTTTGATGTATCTAGTATTTGAATTTTTTTAAAATGTGATTATATGACAGGAAGCGTTGGAAAAATTGTGATTTATCTGAATTATTTCGTATCAATTAGTGAACAGCTATAAACTTAAGTTGATGATTGTATAGGAGTTCTCTGTTGTACTATTTCTCGCATTTTGTAGTATCTGAACATTCAAAGTAGCTGCTAGCTATATCAGTACTGGGATCATATTTGTTTACATTTGATTATCAAGTTCACCAAGTTGACTTATGTTGCACATTGGTCTTTCTACTTTGGTTTCTTTCTTTCTCTGTTTTTTTTTTTTTTGATAGGATTTCTGCTTTGGTTTCTGAAAATCAATTAAAGGTCAAGAGAATGCCTCCGATGTTATTGGCCCGTTTAGTTCGCTGATTCGAGTTTTTAATTCGAGTTGAGATGTGATTTTATGTGAGTGTTTTTTACTGTAACAAAAAAATTAAATGTGATTATTTCTGAGAACTTTTTACTGTAGTAAAATTTGAATTTTAAACTCGAATCAGCAAAATGAACACGACAGTTTTCTTCAAAATGTCACGAGATATTATTGTCCGGAAACAATAGGCCTCCTTTGTGTTTGCTTTTAATATTACATAAATTCATTAGATGCCCCTGCAGTTGATATAAAGGTTTGTAAATAGTAACGTTGCTTGAATCGATGTTACTGTCATTGAGTGGTCATTCAGTCGTAATTTGACACACTTCTAATCTTCCTCTATTTCAATGAAAGAGTCGTGGTTGACAAGATTATTTTAATCCTTTTAGTGAGCATCCCTAACATAAAAATTAAAATATGTGTTGATTACTGCAGATCTAAGTTTGCTTAAAGTGGGTGGGAGAATGGTGTACTCAACATGCTTTATGAATCCAATTGAGAATGAAGCTGTGTTTGCTGAGGTATATTGCCTATTATTGTAATTAGAGCTTCTCGTTAATTTTGTTATCATGTTTAGTCAAGCTACTGCGACAATTGATGCATAGAAAAGAAAGAACACGTGTTTTGGTGGAATTTGTTGATAATAAACTATATTCCTGTAAACTTTTTTTATATGAGTTTGGGTTACTTCATTATTTCAGCTTTCAAGCGTGTTTGATATCAGTTTGGAGGTTATATGGAGGTTTTACTTTGATTATTTATTTGTTTCATATCAGTTGATTAATATATGTTAAATAATGAATTTCTATGGAACTTTTGGTTTCTTTGTTTCTCCCATGTCTATATAGCTTTCAGCTTCTTTTTCATTTGTTTTATTTTTCAATTTGGTAGAAATTAATTGATTAATAGTCGAGAAATTACTCTCAACTATCAAATTATAAGTCATAGTCTGACAGAATATGGACCATAGCCTGGTAGACTATAGGCTTATGGCCGACTGACTGCCGAAAAAGCCACTAGAAACCCCGATAGGTGGCCGCCGGATAGCCACGGGACTGTTGTTGGAAAAGCCGTCGGAGGGTCCTCGGAAAAGTCACTGGACGGTTGGTGGAAAGTCACCTCAAAAGTCGTCGGATGGTCGCCGGAAATATACCGGAGTGTCGCCGGAAGTTCGCCTAAGTGTCGCCAGAAAAGGCGCCTGACGGCCACCGGAGCCGCTGGTTGGAGGCATCGACATTTTGTAAACTATCAATTTACTTTGAGAGTAGTTTGGTAATATATATTATGTATTTGACTAATGATTGACTAGAAATAATGTTTAATGGTTAATAATAATTTATTATAGGGGTAGTTATAAAAATCTCGCTTGAAGTAAACGTGGACGTCTGTTGGGGCAGTTGGTGGAAGTTTGGTGGGAAAACTGTTCAAATTGCGTTTGGACGGGTAAAGAGTGTGGTTTAGTTTAAACAAATAAATTTGTGACTTGCAAGTTATAAAGTCAATAATTAGAATCTTTAACCAACACGCACTGATTCCCAGGCAGTGGAATGCTACTAGCACTCTCGCCCGCATGACGCGTGCATGTCAAATTCCTATAAATCACTTTTATTTATTTAAGGAAAGGATAATATTTTTTCCGAAAATATTTGATTTTTTTCCATTCATTCTAATATTTGTTCATTTTCAGGAAAGGAGAGTATAGCTTTAACTAATCTTAACAAATATTTCTTAAAAATGTATGGATGAGAATTATTATTTTTTATTTTTAATTCATAATTTTTTAGTTAAATAATTACACTAATAAAAATGTATTTATCAAGAGTAAAAAGTAAAGTTTTAGATTCATACACTCTTAAAGATAAATTTTTTATTTTTCTTATAGCTTTTATTCATCTTTTCAGGAAAGGGGAGTAGTATAGCTTTAAGGCCCACTATTTTGTGTATCATACTAGAACAAAATTAGTAAAAATTAGCATTTTGTTATGTAGTTGACACCCATTTTTTCATAAAATTTTTATGTATTTTCTGTTTTTAAAGCAAGGTTTACTTTTTTTTGTTTAAAGAAAGACATTTTCTGGTACGTCAACATACCGGTAGGTCAAGTTTTCTAACCGTTAAATTTACATAAAATTACGTAAAAGTCAAAGTACACATATCTAACGGTTAGAAAAATTTAACTTACCGGTATACACGCGTACTAGAGAATCTCACTTAATGAAATAATCAAAATTTCTTATTATTAAAGAAATAATTGAAGTTGAGAATATTTTTCTTTCAAAAAAATGAAAATCCGTATTTCATCTAAATAGAAGGGACTTTTATATGAAATTAGAAGTATCTCTATCTGCTAAATATATTTAAGTATACTTAAAAAGAGTTTTTTTGATAAAATTAAACAAAAATAAACTACTAATAATTTTTTATTTTTAATTATTAGATTTATATAAAAAATTATTTATTTTATATATTTTTTTAATTTCACGTGATTTTGATTAGATCTGTTAGCTCTATCGAAAAAAGTTTCATATTTAATTTCTTTTTAAAAAAAAAAATAGAACAGAAAGAAGAGAAAAGAGGTGGATCCACGGCAAAATGGCGCGAGTGGGCAGGCAATTACCCGTGAACCGACAGTGTCGTTTAATGGTGGAAAACATTTAACTCGTTTGTACAAAGCAACGGAAGATTCTCCTCAGTTCTCTTATGTGGCCTACCAAATTGAACAGAAACCGTCCAGGTGTGTGTATCCCCCAAAAAATTCAGAAAAAACGAAAAAGAGAAAGGACCTAAATAAGGAATCAAGTCTGAATTTTGAGTCCTTAACCCCTTTCTGTGGAAAAATTTGGACCTCAGATTTTTCTCTGGTTAAGGTTCACGCACCTTCAAAATCCCTTCCACGTTCCCCTCCAAAAAGAACACCCACCCATTTCGACCCAGTTTCATCTGTTTTTAACTCATAGAAATAATCCTTTGAATCTTTGACTACAATCCCAAATCTCCAATTTTCTCGGATACCCACTTGCAGATTCTCCACGTTCTTTTCTGGGTATCCCTTATTTTCTCCGAATTTTGATATCTGGGTATTCGATATTTCGTTGAAAGATTGAGTTTTTAGGATGGTGGGGGCTTTGTCCGTGGTGGGTTCATCGGTGGTGGACTCGCATACTTGTCCTTGCTTGTGCGTAGATGCTTTGCCGACCACTAATTTGAGCTTCAAAAGCGTTGGAGATCTGGTTTTGCAAAGGAAGCAGATTGCGAAGCCCGTTGGGTCGTCGGAGTTGAGCAGTTCTTTCATCGATTCTGGGCTTGACAGGCGACTCGCGGCGAAAGCACTTCCGGGTATTGTCGGTCGGAGTCCGGGGAAACAGAAGAAGAACCGGAGGCTAATGATCGTCAGTGAATTGGGTGGACAGTATGAAGACAGTTTTGAGGATGTTAAGAGGGTGAGAAATTCTTACCCTCTTTAAGAGTTATGGATGAGCCATTACTACATGACATGAGAGACATATATGTGTGTGTATGTTTAAGAGTTATGGATGAGCCATTACTACATGACATGAGAGAAATATATGTGTGTGTGTGTTTAAGAGTTATGGATGAGCCATTACTACATGACATGAGAGAAATATGTGTGTGTGTGTGTGTGTGTGTGTGTGTTATTATTCATTTCCTTGGCAGTATCTTGTTTTAAGTATCATGTCGACTAGCTACTTTTATTTTTATTTTATGGTGATAAGTTTGCATGTTCCAAGCTACCAGATCTGTTAACAAAAGTCAAAGCTATTTTCTTTATCCATGAGCTGGTGTATACTTGCAATTTCTTATTTTTAATTGCAGGAATGTGATTCGCAGTAGTTGGTTATAATATATTAATTATTATGATTTCTCGATAGATTTGACCCAAATCCTTCCACTAATCTCCTCACCCATTCGCTTCTTTCCACTTTTTCCCCCTGCCAAACAAGCTCTTAGAGATAATTTGACCTTCCTTTTTTTTTTTTTTTTTTTATTATGAAGACTGTGGATCCTGTTAAAGCATTTCATGCTGACCATAACTAATCTGCCTGCAGCAAATTCTCAATTATTTCACGTACAAGGCTGTGAGGACTGTTCTGAACCAGCTGTATGAGATGAACCCAACCCAATATAGATGGTTTTACGAGTAAGTTGGATTTTTAATATATTGCTTTCAGTCTCATCCCCAGTGCATCTTTTCGCTTAATGTGAGTCATATCCTCCAATGATAAAAATAATAAGGCAAACTTGTTTCTCTATACAATCCTTTCACACAATAATTTACTCAATGGTTCTGTTCGAAACTCTGTTCATGTATCACTATATGTTCATGTATCACATTAACATGCTAACCAATTGCTTCATATTTTCATTCCTTGGCAGTTTCGTTGTCTCAAACAGGCCCGGAGATGGGAAGCGATTCATTCGCATCCTTGGGAAGGTAATTTTTGAGAACTTGAGTTGAATTGTTTTGACAACTAAGGAAATGTAGAGGAAGGGGAATTCCTTCATTGTGTTTTAGAATTCTTTTATGCAAACTAACGACGAGCTTCGCGGCTCTCTGCTTAAATGACCTGTTTTTGAAGTGGTGTACATCTCTGTTTTAATTGTCAGGAGAGGCACGAGCTTGCCGAAAGAGTTATGGTCACACGGCTTCATCTCTACGGTAAATGGGCGAAGGTAATAAAACTGAAAACTCATTTTGAAGCTAATTCATTTGACATTTAAAGCTTAAAAGGCTTGGAAAATCATAAAAGAGTCCTCTTTCTCATTTGGTGTTGTGATGTAGAAATGTAATCATGCCGAAATATACAAAGAGATCTCTGATGAAAACTTAGAGTTGATGCGTGAACGGCTGATAGAGACTGTGATATGGCCTTCAGATGACACAAACACGGAAAAGATTGGATAATAACACAAGTTATCAAGTTTCAGCTTATAGTTTACCTTTCTTTTTACTCCTGTTGTTCCCTAGTCTTAGGCATTATTATTATTTGTATTATTTCCACTTGACCAATAAAAATTGTTCAATACTATTGTATTTTGTAACTTGTGTGTATACGTAAAAACGTTACCAAGAGAATTGTTATATATTAAAAACAGGGGGGGTTGACCAAGAGGTGCATTACCGGTGTAATTCTGTAGAATGTCCTTTTTCCGACTCTCCCACAAATTCGTGGAAAAATTCAACCATGATGGTCAGTCAACATACGTATATGACCAGGCTAGGCCAATGGAGAAGCACAAGTTTGAGCGTTACAAGTGGGTTGAATACAACTTTTTAAGTCCAACTATTCGCTCATACAACTGTACTATTTTTATGTAAAACTTAAGACTTAAATAAATTTTTCATACAAATGATATAGTTTGAATACCAATCCCCTAAAAGTGGAATTCCTATATTTCTTATCGTAGCCAACTTAGTTTGTCTTTTATGGAGTTCATGTTTTCATAATTTATGATAACATCTTTATGGTCTCACATGATGACAAAACCTTGGTTGTAAAGCGTGATTTGATTATTGATTTAAGCAAAAATTGCCGTCAGAGCCATTGACTGGAAAGCCATCATGCAATATATGCGAGCAAGAACGACTTTGTTTTGGAGAGGGGGTTGACACTTAACAACCACCGAATCAAGTCTAAGTGGTATGAAAATGGCGAAATTACCCCGTCTTTTTTAACATTGCCATGTGTGGTTTGCATAATATTATTTTCAAAATTCATATATCGACAAATTATCGGCTCCTTTGAGCATTGTTACAAGTTAATCCAACATCCATACGTGAAGAAAAATAAAATAATATCACAAAATCGTATTGGGGGCGTTGTTTTCTATTAGCAATTAGATTTACTACAAAATATGATGTATCTGTCACTATTCCTGCATATAAGAATCAACTTATAGACAATGAAACACAAGCACCGGTATATTTCACAAAAGCCTTATAATCTTTTTTGTTTCCCGTCAAAATAAGCCTCTGGGACTTAAGAGTCCCCCTGCTTCAATGGTCCAAGCCCAAGCTTCCACATAATCATCGAGGTAATTTGTTTTCCTTAAAGAAAAAAAAAAAGAAGAAAAAGAAGAGAAAAAAGAACATAAAATACAATAGCCCCTTGAAAAGAAGTTTATTCTTCATAGATTGCATCTGAAATGACCGAAAAAGATCATGCTAACAAATCGATAAAAAATGATGTAATATGATTGAGAACATTGATGAGTGACATGCTTTAACAGAGTGCACAAGGAAAAGGAAGATAACAAAAATGGGGAGCAAATGACACAAATTAGGAAAAATGGAAAAATGGCATTTTTTTTTTTTTAAGTTAACCTGGTCAGAAGCACCCCATAAAAATTATAAAGAGTCCACACTGCTCTTGTGTTACACCTGCAAAAGGAAGAGATAGTGATGGTTGCAGCAAATCGGTTCTTTAGAAGTAGAATTGCAGTTTTATTTTTAAAGCTACTTTGGGGATAATAGCTTCTAAAGGCAGCTATTGCCTGCCATCTATCTGGAATATTAAAAGTAAGAGCGGTAGTTTGTCGATAAATCCTACTGTAAATCACTTCCATAACTGGTTGAGAACATAAAATTTTCATACAATCACATAACTGCTGAAAGAAAAATCGACTGTGAGCAAGCCGTATTGACAAAAAGCTTCCGTGTACACTCTTCATCCTGGAGTTGGAGACAAAACTTTACCTAGCTGTTACTAATCACTTGACCTAAATGACATCTAACTGCCAAGGCCTGTTTGAATAACATGAATTCTTAAACTCTTTAAATTATACATACATTAAAAATAAAAAATAAAAAATCGATCTCGATTGCATCTTGGAAATAGTACATTCCTTCGAGACCACAAAGATGTCATATAAAACTTCGATTGAAGCATATCATTTACTTGAAAAATGCGGGTGAAAGGTTGAGACATCCATTCAAAAAAGTTGCGCAGTGACAGAACTTCAATGTCATTTTTTTTTTTCCCTTCGTTGGGGCCTAAGGGGGGTAGGAAAAAGGCATCATGTTGAACCATCACCAAAAGTCATAAACTGCCCCAGTGCTGTTCTTACACGAAGCTGCAGTTCAATGAATCAAGATGGGATTTAGCAAATATCTCAAATTAAGAATATAATAAAATAAAATATATAGCAAAGTCCGCTAAAAAGTTTAGCAACCTTTACTTCTAGGCAAGGATCGTTGACCATGTTCTTCATTTGAGAAACTATGCCAGCATTACGTAGTTTTGCTACGCGACCAAATGCACCAGGAATTGATGGAAAAGTGAGATTAACAATGGTCCAGACAACAGCTGTGCGCAACTGGCTGTCACTGCTCTGCAGAAACTGGATCACAAATGATTGGGTTCCATTGTCTACTTGCGGAACAAGTTGGTCCATCACAGCTTCCTTGTGAAATTCATTCCCACTTGCGACATTGCAGAGAACATACATTCCCTAAATAAGACAGGTTTCAGAAAGCTCCATTATGAGGCAAGTCATCAATGAAAAGTAAAACACCTCCACATCTACTTCCCATCTCACCAGAACATTTTATCGGTTCTGGCATGCTGTTTATCATCCCAAGTAAAAATTAGCACTTGCAAATGACCCAACGAGAAATGCATGCTAACCTGTATCCCAATTTCAGCTTTAAAAGCACTCTGCAATTGCCTTCCAATAGCATCTAATATAATACCATCTTCAGCAAATACAAATTCAATAGAGTCCATACATCCATCAACAAGATTGCGGAGCAGGGCAAGAGCTTGCTCCTGGACAGAAGGCTCCGAATCTGCAGATAAACAAAATCAACAATGCTTTGCGTGCATAAGTACGTTACCACCATAGTAAGAAAAATTCTGAAAGAAATATCTTGAACTGCCATAAGTATAATACTATCATTACCACAGACAAGGCTTGCTAATAAGGAGGCTGTAAGCTCCCCAAAAATGCTTTCCTTACATGTGTAGTCCGCAAGGAACACCAAGTTTCTCAAAGCCCCTAAAGCATTTACCGTCAAATCTGAATCCATTGATTTTGACAACTGAACAAGTTGTTGTAGACCTCCACATTGTATAAATATGGACCTGCGTTTGGAAAAATCGACAACTATGTTGCCAATAGCACTGAGAGCTGCAAGCTGGAAAAGAGGCATTCATCAAAATTTGCCTCAGCTACATTTGTGGAGTTCTCAAAGGACAATGTTTTAGGTACCGTACATGCTAAGGATAATATCTACTGTACATTTATCATACTAATTGACAAATGATTTATAACAGACCTGACCATATGCACATCTGATTTCTCAAATATTTTACCCTCCACAGGAACAGAAAACCACAGGATACTCACACTCACTCACAAAAACTGAAAGGGTCAAACTTAATGCCTCTATATTAACAATGAGAAAATATGAAATGACTACAAGTTGAAATATTTCATTAACAAAACATTGCCATAATTGTCAGTGATGCCAGATACCACCAAAATGTTTGATGGCTAAAAAGTAAATAGTACATTTAATAGTTGATGGCTGTTAGCAGGCTTCATCAGCAACTTTAAGTAATCTCTACATCATGCGACAAGGTGAATGTAATTTGAAGGAGAAGGGAGGATTGATAATAACCATATAGAAAACATGATAATTAGCGATAAGTATTAGATGTACCTGAACAGAAGTGCAACGATCATGTAAAAGACGAACCAAGGGAATCATGATTATTTCATCCATGAAATCTCCTGCACATAAACTCTGAAGGATAATTTCTCAGTATAGAATCTTACACATTACTGTAAATATTCAAATAAAAAAAGCAAGTGCTCATATTCCAAACCTTGATTGATCGAAAGATACTTCTTAAGCAAATACAAGCCGCAGCACGCACACTGGAACTATCATGAGTTAGAGCATCTATTACCAAGTTCAATGCCTGCGTTCATGGAAATATATCAGAGTTGAGAATTTGCAGAACAATCATACACATAGACAATATTATCAAACTTAGTCAAAGAACTGAACGAAAAGATAATGAAGAATCCAGGACCCTAGTCAATGATATTGCTGAAAGAGGTGATTAACCAGACAATTGGGAAGAACAAGCATCTGAAAAATCAACAAAATAGAAGTTAATATCTTCTAGTAAAAGGACATACCTTCAATGAAAAAAACTTAGACCTACAGCTCTCCAACTTTGAGCATAGATCAGCCATTGCCAGCAATATTCCTTCAACGCGTTTTGAATTTAGGACAGCTTTCTTCAAATGGTTGTACAGTTTATCAATGGCATTAGCCTCCAATGCTATTTTTTGCATGTCCTCTTTTTCTGCTATTAAACTAGACAAAGCAAAGGAAGATTCATCTCCGACTTGACCAAGATCATCGTGAAGCTCAAGCAGAAGATGCACCAACTTGGTTTTGATTCCTATATCTTGCAGATAGCAAGGAGAAGTGTTCCTTATAACAATCAAGCACGTAGAGGCTAGTAATCTTGTCCGAGGATACCTATCCTTTGTTAACGCAACCACAGAGCTTAGAGCCCTTCCGCTCTCGGATCCCACAAACATTGACACAGCTTCAACATTATTTTTAATAATTGTGGCTAAAGATTCCAAGCTAGCATCTCTCTGATTTAAAGACCCTTCAAGAAGGCCAATGAGTTTCTTTAGAACCCCAGCTTGAGACAGTGCATTTTGCTCCTCGACTGTCTCGCAAGAATGCATTATGATGCTTGCACCAAGTCCAGTTACATTTTCATTCTCACTATTCAATAACGAAAGAAGAAATTCCATGCTTTTCTGTTCAAGAAAATCATACTTCGGAGCAAGTTTTGATTGGTAGATCATTCTTAAAGAACGTGCACCAGAATCCACAACCTGTAGCACAACGTTCGCCAACCTGAGCCTTGATGTTTAATGTATGCATTAGCCTAACTATGACCTAATTGAGCTCTTCCCATTCAAATCATACTTAATAGACTTCCTTGACAATTATTTTGTTTAGGCCATTTGCAGCATATTGTATAACAAAAACAAGAAATATAAACAAACTAAACAATCACTCTTCACTAATATAAATTATTCAACTTCTCAACTCAAATTAACCAAAAGATCAATTAAATCGGATAGAACCGAAGCAATTACTTGATATGACGATAAATACTTGAAAATTTTCAGCTTAATTCATCCAAAAACCTAATTAATTTAAAACAATTCAAACAGACTGACGATTCAATCTTATTCCATAATTGCATTGCCGCACATTTTCCATCAAACGCTCAAAACCAGACGCAATCAGATCAGAAAGAATTAATTACCTTCTCGTCGGGATGAGATAAGAGCCTGACGAGGCTAGGGAAGACTCCGGCATCGAGAACGGCTAGGACACCGGCGTCGAAGCCGCACGCGAAGCTACCGACGACGGCGGCGGACTGGATGAGGAGGTTCGAGTCCCGATCGGCTCCAGCATCGGCGGCGGAGGCGAGGATATCGGCGACGGCGGGGACCAAGCCGAGCTTGATGAAAGAAAGCTTCTTAGTACGGTTACCGATGATGCGGTTCTTGAGGTCGCGTAGGGCCTTGACCTGGACTTGGGCGTCCGGCGAGGAGAGGCGGGAAAGGAGCTCGGAGTGGTGGCGCGCGGTGGCCTGAGAGGCCGAAGGCGGTGCCGGAGCTGAGGCTGAAGCGGATGTCGGCATCGTGTCGTGGAAGCCGCTGGATTGTCATGTGAAGAAGGAAGAAGGGACCGACCGAGCTCCGCGGGAGAGAAGCTATTTCCCTTTTTTCTTTGCCTTCGAAGCCTATAAGAGACGACACCGAATAAATAGGGGCAAAAATTTGTCGTCATCTTTTTTTTTTTTTCCCCAAAATTAAAAGCTGTGTAATATTAGATAAGATAAAAAAATTAATAGTAATAAGTTCAAAAGAATAAATTGGATGTTTGAAACTATAATAAATCTAAATCTGACGAACTTTGACGATTCAGAATTGAATAATATTCGTAATTTTGTTTTTTGAATTTTTTTTTAGATTTAATAATTTAGACTATAGTTTCTTTTTATATAAATTTTAATAATTTTAGACTATAGTTTCTTTTTCTTTAATTTAGGCTAACTTGGGAGTTTTCCTGGTAGTCACTACAAAATAAACTATTGACAATGCACACCCCTTTAAATTTGTGAGTTTAGAAATATAATGACCGTTTAGTTCGCTGATTTGAGTTTTTAATTTGAGTTGAGATGTGACTTTATGTGAGAATTTTTTACTGTAACAAAAATGTTAGATATAACTATTTTTGAGAGCTTTTTACTGTAACAAAACTCGAATTATAAATTCGAATCGGTGAAATGAACGAAATTTTAGTGCCTTAACTTTTTTCTTGACAATACACCTCTTAAACTTTAAAATTTGTTGCAATGTTGGTTAAAATAAAAACAAATGTAAAGATTAGGACAATATCTTCAACGTAAGTGTTTAATAAGGATAATTAATATTTGTTTGCATCGAATTAATTCTCATATACACATTATGAGCGATTTTTTTTTAAATTGAGAGTTAACCATTTTGAGAGAAAAATTAAGGTCCCATGATTTTAAAAAATGTTTCATCCTTAACATGTATAAAGGGTTCAATTCAATACAAAAAGATTATAATTATTTGTATTCAATACTCAGGTAAAAAATATCATTTAAATTTTTAATTTTATTAATATTACAACAAATTTTAAAATTTAAGAGGTGAATTAAAAAAAAATTAAAAGACTAATTCGCCAAACTCACGAAGTTAAGCGGTATCCATGCAAAAACAGCCCGCATATATATTCCAACCAAATTGAATTCACCCCCCGCTTCTCTTCTCTGCGAATTTCGTTTCATTTCAGTTGATTTCGCGTTCTTTTCCGCTTCACTACTTTATCTCCCGCCATGGCTATCGAGCTTCAATGCTCTCGATCTTCTTATTCTTCTTCGTCTTCTTCTTCTTCTTCACTTCTTGGCAGACTCTGCTTTTCATTTTTCTGCTCGTAAATCAGAAATAATTCATTAAGTGCTTCAGTTTCGCAGACCGTACAGATTCTCATTCTTCAATCTTTGAGCTAATTACCAATTTAGATTCACGCAAGTGTAATTCCATTTACTCTCTGCATTTTTTACGTTTTCGTGTAAATTTTCTTTCTTAAATATGTGAGATTCGTTGTTTTTCCGTGATTTATTACTATTTCGTTCTTGTTTTATCTACTTTTTTTTGTAGCTTTTTGCTTGGCTTGGACTGGTTGATATAATTATGCGTGGGTTTATTTTTATGGTGATTTCTTTTGTTTCTTGAAAACATATTCTTGTAGTTATTTGAATTCGTGTTCAACTCTTTGCTTGCTCAGAAAGGGTGGTTTTCAAAGTAGAGATTTTATCTTGAAGAATCGGCATGCATTTATGGATAATCTATCTTTGAAAAAAAAAAAACAAACTGAGATTTTCATTTTCTTTCTTGGTGCAAATCATTATTTTATCGATTATCCATGTTGAATACACGATAAATTCTATGGATTATTTGTTTATTTATTATCTTTTAGGGGTTTAAGCATTCTTTTTTCCTTCAAATTCTCTGCAAACCGTTCTTGTTATTCTATTCTTTCTTAGTGAATCTCTTTTCAATGGTTTCCTCTAAATTCTCTGGTATTCTCCGTTTCTTTTCATTTTCTCTTGAGAATTGGTGTTATTTAGATCACTATTTCGTGTGGAATTATTCTGGTAATAAGTATGTGATTTCTCTCTTTATTTTCTTTTTTTCGCGTTATAACATTTGATTCCTTTTCGATTGTCTCTTTCAGATAATTCTTTTACTTTCCGTTAATTGAAGCATGAGTGGTGGTCACAAGCAGTTAAATTCCAAGACGCCAGCTTCACCACCTCAGCAAGAAAGCGAGTCTTCTACAAATGATATGAACAATCCTGTTGAAACAGTTAAAAGTGGTCATTCTTTTTCGGTTTTGCTCGAGTTCGCAGCTAATAATGATGTTGAGGGTTTTAAGCAATCTCTTACTAATTCAACAATGATTGATGAGGTTGGATTATTGAATTCTCGCCAAATGGCTTTGAAGAGGATGACACCGTTAATGGTAGCCGCTTTGTATGGTAGTGTTGAGGTTGTGAAACTTATTCTTTCTCTGTCGAAGGCGGATATAAACCGTTCCTGCGACCCAGATAATAGCACTGCCCTTCATTTTGCTGCTTCTGGTGGGTCTGTTGAAGCTATTGATGTTGTTAAGTTGCTTTTACGTGCCGGTGCAGATCCTAATGCGACTGATTCTCGCGGGCGTCGACCATTTGATGTCATTGTTTCTCACTCTAATCTTCCAAATGTGAAGGTTGCACTTAAGGAGCTACTAAAGAGGGATGGATCAATTCGTCAATCTGGTGAACTTTATGTTTCACCTAATTCAACACTGTCGCCATCAACACACAAGAAGAGACAATACCGAATCGATCTGTCCATCCCAGAGATTGGAAGCAGCATTTATGCTACTGATGAGTTCAGAATGTATGAATTCAAGATTCAACCATGTTCGCGATCTCGTTCACATGATTGGATGGAGTGCCCTTTTCTTCATCCTGGTGAGACAGCAAGGAGAAGAGACCCCAGAAAGTTCCGTTACAGTTTGGTGTCCTGCTATCATCATTATTATGCACCGCCATGTAGTCGTGGAGACCTGTGTGAATTTGCTCATGGGATTTTTGAGATCTTGCTACACCCATCACAGTACAGGACTCGGCTTTGCAAAGATGGCACAAGTTGCAACCGTCGGGTTTGCTGTTTTGCCCATACAGCTGAGGAACTAAGGCCTGTTGATTCGTACACAGGATCTGCTGTACCATCTTCTCCTCATTCAGCTACCTCTGCTGGTATAGCTGTGGGTTCAGCCATGTCACCTTCCCTATCTACTCCTCCCATGTCTCCTGGTAATGGCATTTCCCAAGCGGCCTGGCCTCAACAAAATGTTCCCACTTTGCACCTTGCAGACAGTCATCTCCAAATGGGGCGTCTAAGATCTTCTGTAAATACAAGAGAGTTTCAGTCTGATCGCTTTCAAGTGCAGCAACAGCGGGGGCTCTATGACTTATCCAGTTTCTCTGCGAATCTCAATGAGATTTTCCCCTCTCAGGTCTTGTCTCCTGGATACTCTGATCAATTTATGGCCTCACCCATTGTCTCTCAATCACATAGATCAGCAGTTTCTAATCAACTCTACCAGCAAGAATCCATGTTTTCCCCTGCCAAAACAAGTGCGGTCTCTCCCAAAAATTTTCAGCATTCTCTTTTGCAGCCTTCATTTCAGAACAATAAGCCTCTAACCCCATCGAGTTCTAAGGTATCTGCTTTTGCCAACCGTGAGAATCAACAGCAACAATTACCCGGCTTCAGCTCTCCAAAGCTTGGATCAAACCTTTCTCATGACCTTGGTTATAATCTATGGCGTAATCTTGGATCAACTGACTTTCTTAGTTCCCCTGGAAGTTATTGGTCGACGCAATGGGAATCACCTACTGGGAAACTAGATTGGCCTGTTGAGTCAGAGGAACCTGGTCGATCGCACAAGTCATCTTCCACAGGGCATAATGCAAAGGAGCCTGAAGTTTTACTGGTTCAATCTCCGGCGAAGGAATTGCGATCTGATACCAGGGAAATGACAAACAGTTCAGCCTCAGACGCGACGGCGACTGTCGAATGTTCTAATCCGAAACAATATACATAAGGAATTGCGATCTGATGCCTAACCTTGAACTCCTTTTTACTGAGATTTGAGGTAGCACAACTTACTTAGGTATTTCATTTAGTTTGTTGATTATACTGGAGTCCAGAAGGTGACATTTACAATTATAAGTCATTTTTACGTCAAAATTGTTATTACTGAACTGTAAACTCAATTCAGTAAGGGATGGGAAAAAGCCCACCTTGTTTCAGCAGTTTCTCAGCCACCTTTGTAAAAAGATTTGAAATTCTTCTTTTGTACTTTAAAAGTAGGATTGCATTTTTTTTTTTTTGTTAAGATGAACCAAAAGAAAGAAAAAGGAAGATAAAAGATCACTCATTTATTATTTTTCTCTTCCATCTCAAACTTTTCCTACATTGGTTTTCTTTAATGCTTTGACTAGTTCTTGTGGACGTATTGGACATATTTAATCACAAGGAAAATGGGTCCACATGTAAATAAATTATTGCGGAAATCGACAGTGACAGGAAGTGGGACATTTGTTCTTTTATTGTTCTACTAACATTGAACTAAACATTTGTCACTATCAACATTACTTTTGCACTATCTTATTATTATTCTCATCTCATTCTTGATTAATAAGCATTGCTTTTCTCCATCTCCCTCTATTTGTGGTTTTCTTTCTTCTGTTTCAATGAAAACATGGGAATATGTGATCACTGATGAGGTGGATCCTAACAAGGTGATAGTTTTCTTCTTTCTTTTCTTTTTTTTTTGGGGGGGTTTGGCGGGTGGAGATGGTCCTTTTGGGAGAATATTGCTAATTATTTCAGGGTTGTTTTTGGATACTTTTCATCAAAATTTTTTATCAGACTTAACATTAACATGTAGAGAAATCAGCCATGAAAAAAAAAAAAAAAAAAAAAACTCCTCATCCTTAATCTACCATAGTGGGATTTTGATGATATGATGTGCTAGTATCATAATTATCAGTGAACGAAGACTTTCAATCGAAGCTAGTCAAATATAACGTTTTAACCCACAACTTGGCGTTAAATAGGCGTTACAGTGGCTGTATATCTTAATTTGTAATTCAAGTATCTAATTCTGCATTATAAATATAGTGCCATTTTGGAATCGTTTCCAAAAACGTTTTTCACGTTTTTCAAGAATTAAAAAATGAAAACGCACCCAAAAATGCGTTTAGCACTGTATATCCAGGATCGTTTCAGTTACTGCACCCCCACTCTTGTTATTATTTTAAATATTATTACATGTTTTTAAAAATTAAACCACCAAACACAATTTCAGTTTTTTTTAAACTGAAAACATTATCGAAATTAAAACTACCAAACGCATTATTAAAAATGATTCCAAAATGAAAATAAAAACGTTTTCGTTTTCATTTTCATACAAAAAATAAAATCATTTTGGAACGAATTTCAAACGCACCCATAAAGTTTGGTGAAGGAAAAAGGAAAGAAAAATGGCGATATCCAATTTTTTGTGCGCTTAACAAAAGGTAACAAAAAGCGATTGATATTACCGATATCTGCACAGATTGAATGATTTAAGAAAGAAACAAAATTATGGAAAATCATTGCAACGTTGGTTGCTACTTGCTAATTACTATGCAAATGTAAGTGCATTTTAGGAGTGAAAATCTCTAGCTTCTATATAACTGATAGTCAGGTTTACCTTTCTCCAATGAACTAAAAATGAAAAAGGTTTTTATCTCATTTGCTCCAAACACCAGAGTGTGAGCTTCCAAGTCTTCAGTTTCCATGTGAACTTAAGGCGTTTCGAACTATTCTTCTTCTTCTTCATTCAAAACCCCTTGGATGTCGGGAATATATCCACTTTCTTTGATTAATGCTGTTAGAGAACATAGATTTTCGTAAATTATGTTTGACTGAGGGTGTGACGCGTCACCAGCAGCAAAACAATGTACTTCGCTTCGAACAACAATCCAGCTTATTCCTGGAGACTTTCTTAATCCCTTTTCTTGGAGCCACGTCCTTATCTTCCTCACCTCTAGCCAAAGACCTGCTGAGGCGTAGATGTTAGACAGCAATATATAGTTTCCTGCATTCATGGGTTCTAATTCAACAAGTTTCTCGAATATTGTTGCAGCTAACTTTGTGTCAGAATTAACTCGACAAGCACTGAGCAAAGCCCTCCACAACGATGCATCCAGTTCAATAGGCATTGATTCGATAAACTCTCTGGCTTCATTCAAGCGTCCTCCTCGGCAAAGAAGATCAACCACACAACCATAATGAACAAGCTCGGGTTTTATCTTGAATTCATGAACCATCATTTGGAAAAACTGCAATCCCTTCTCTATAAATCCACAATGTCTGCAAGCAGATAGAATAGCTATGAAAGTTGCGGCGTTTGGTTGCATACCATCTTCTAGCATTTGCAAGAATGCAAGAATAGAATCAACTCCGCAACCGTGCATAGAATAGCCAGTTATCAGGGCGTTCCATGAGATGATATTTCTTCTCGGTAAAAGTTTGAAGACTTTTTCAGCATTTTGCACGCTACCACATCTAGCATACATCGTCACAAAAGCATTTGCAAGAGACAAATTGTTAGCGAAAGAGGCTTGCCTCCTAGTCACGAAAGCGTGCAAGCATTGGCCTTGAGGACGAGCGGCGAGATGAGTACACGACGAAAGCATGTTTATGATTGTGACACCGTTAGGTTCTACTTCTGAAATCATACGGCTGAAAAGTAATTGAGCTTTCTCACCTTGGTTGTTTCTAACATAGCTAGCAATTAACGCATTCCATGAAATCACATCCCTATCAGGAAAATTCTCAAATAGATTCCTAGCCGTTGCTTCATCGCCACAATTCATGTACATATCTGTCAGTGCAGTGTTGAAAGATAGGTCGATTTCAATGCCAAGTTTTATAACAAAACCATGAACTGCTCTCCCAATATTCAGACAGGTTTCGTCATCACAAGCAGCAAGGATAGATATCACTGTATGCGAGTTGGGTGTCATTTTAGTGGCTCGCATTGCCTCAAATAGGTTCCAAGCTTCATTCCTCAACTTGTTGCAGGCCAATGCCATGATCAAAGTGTTCCATGAGATGACATCTGGACCTGTCATGTCGTCAAAAACCTTTTGGGCAGCTTCGGTACAGTTTAATTCAGCATACATACCTAAGAATGCATTTCCAAGAGAAACATCATCTATTTCCATTCCACTTTTGATCGCATGAGCATGTAAACTTTTTCCATTTCTCACTCCATCAGCTAAATTTGGACATGAAGATGCCATTATAGCAATAGTTCTTTCATCTTCTCTTACGCCTTCCGTTCGCATAGAAACAAACAAGCTCAAAGCTTCGTCACAAATGCCGTATTCTATGTATGCATATATCATAGAATTCCACAAAGCAACATCACGGTTAGGGACATTTTCAAATAACCTACATGCCAAATCTAAACTGCGACAATCACAATACATATTAAGCAAGGCATTTACTATGAACAAATTATTTCTGTAACCATACTTAATAGCCAGTTGATGGATTTGCATACCCAAATTGCGAAATCCAAGTTCTGCACAGGCTTGAGCTACAACAAGTACTGTAATCGAATCAAACTTATTAACCCCATCTACAAGCAAATGCACAAAAAGATTACAAGCCTCCAAGTTCTCCCCCATGTCAACATACCCGGTAATTATCGCATTCCAACTCACAGTGTTCTTCACATCCATCAAATCAAACACAAGGCGCGAAATCCTCGCATCAAATCTCGAATAAAACCCAATCAAAGCAGTCCCCACATGAAGGTCCAAATCAAACAGTCCATTCCTCAAACAATAACCATGAATCTCCTGTCCCAACCTCAACTCATCAAGCTCTCTACAAGTTGAAAGAAGTCCCACAACAGTACGCGAATTGGGTTTAAGTCCCTCGCTCTGCATTCGCATAAACAACGAAACCGCCTTCTCAAAATAACAGCAACCCACATACCCATATATCATGGCATTCCACAAAACGACATCTCTTTCACGCATTTTGTCGAACACTTCACGGGCATCATCGACGAGCCCACATTTCCCGTAAAAGTCGACAACGGAAGTCCCAACTCGGACATCTTCGATCAAACCCGTGCCCCGAATACTCCAATGAATTTTCTTTCCTCTCTCGACATCATTCAGCCTCGTGCAGGCCTTGAGAACGAGAGGTAGAGTGGCATTATCGGGAGCTATGCCGAGAGATTCCATGTGGGTATATGTAGAGAGAATTGCGTGGTCATTGTTGAACTTGGTATGGTGCTTGATGACCGAGTTCCAGTCTTTTGGGTCGGTGATTCGGAAGTTATTGGGCATGAAAGGAAGCTTTTGAAGGTTTCGAATTGGAAATATATCCATTGAGTAGTGATGTTCCTTCACATTTGGCGGGAATGTGAAGAAGAAGAAGAAGATAACACTGGGATCAACTGATGAGTGGCCACTGGCCACGGTTGACCGTTGAAGTTTTGTACTTTTATGTCTCTTGCTTATGTGCTTTGAGTGAAAAACGACAGGTTGACTGTATTAATTAGGTCCGAAGCGACATTGTTCTTTAACTTGATAAGCTACGCTTTTTTTTTTTTTTAGTTTTAAATTTTATTGTCGTTTGTTTTAAGACAAACGACAAACCGTTTTTGACAAACGAAATGATTCCTTTTAAAACGATATTTAGTTTCCTTATGAATTCTGCCGTCGTTTAAGTCGTAAAACGAATATGTTTAGGCCCCGTTCACTTCGTTGATTCGAGTTTAGAATTCGAGTTTTTCTACAGTAAAAAGCTCTCACAAACAATCACATCTAACTTTTTTGCTACAGTAAAAAGCTCTCACATAAAATCACATCTCAACTCGAATTTTAAACTCAAATCAGCGAAGTGAACAGACCCTTAGATATTCCTTGGCTGTATTCTTTTACCAAACCGCTTGTCGTTTATTGAGTAAGTTTGGTGCTGTTTGGCTGCAAAAAGGAAACGTCACTTCAAAATTTCATCTGTCGTTATGAGTGAACGACATATGCTTTGATAAAATACGTAAACGATAACAACAAATGAAACGACAAGAAAAACAATAATATCATGGAAGAACGAAAAAAAATCCTCAAAATTTCATGAAGAACTCGAAAACGGCAACAACGATAAACAAACACAAAAACTTGAACAACTATGAAGTAACATGAACTTAAAAACGACAGAAAAAAGATGACAATGCCCTAAAACGACAAAAAATAAGAAAAGGACGACCAGATCATATGCCTTAAAATAACTTGACAACCGGTACAAATAACACAAAGAGTGAAGAACGACAACAAATGTGAACATTTTAACCAAAATACGACAACACACGAGGAAGCAATAAGACCGTAAAAGAAAGAAAAAGAAAGACAACAAAAGTCGAATCGTGATGGAAAAGGCTACGACAAGTGAGAAAATGGCAGAAAGGTGGAACGACAAAATAGCACAAGGCAACAAATGAAAAGACGGAAGCAGCATAGAAAACAAAAGCGCCATTTAGGAAACGACAACCATAAAAGAAGCAAAGTGAAAAGCGACGGAATTCGAACCATGACATAAAAAGCTAGAACAAAATGGGAAAACGATAGCAAGATGGGAAAACAAAATTGCAAACGACAAGAAGGGAGAAACATTAAAAACAAAAAAAAAATCGAAAAAACTACATAGAGACAACCGTAAACAAGATGAAAACGGCAAAAGACTCAAACCTAGTCGATAAGAATTAACAAAATAGACAAGAACGGATACGACAACAAATAAGAAAAAGGTAACACCGTGAAAGAAACAAATTGGATGAAAAGTCAAACCATAACGTTAAAAGCTCCAAAGAACTGCAAAACCACGTAACACTCAAAAGAACATTTAAAAGTGCTCGTGAAAGTAACAAGATGAAAAATGAAAAGTAGAACCATAACGTAAAAAGCAACTGAACATTCAAACGACAACATGCGACGAGGTCACACATTCCTCGTGGAATTCAACACAGTTTGGCTACGAGGAAACGGTGATAACAACAGTTTAGTTTTTTTTTAAAAAAAATGATATGTAAACATTTTTATTTATTTTTCAAAGTCTCTTTTATGATTATTTTGCTATCAAAATTTAGTAGTGACGCTGGTTGTTCTGATTTACCAATTATTTTTCTTTGATTAATTACACTAATGTGGAGTTTATGATTCATTCCAAAATGCCACGGAAGAAAACATCATGATTTTCTGAATATACTCTTTATGAATTTATAGCAACATATAACATACTGCTAGAGCATACTAATACACTTTTTTTTTAATTTTTAATTTTTTTTCTTCTTGCGTTGTTTTCTCACATAACAGATATCTACTACTCTAAGTTTTTATGCACAAGTAAATACAGAACTGTAGAAATTTTCCAGCCATCAAAACTCCAAAGAATACAATAAAAAGAAGACTGCAAAAATAACTTGAACTACGCCAAATGAGATTCCATATGAAGTAATTGAAACAAATTTGCAACTTCAGAGAAGAACAAGAAGAAGCAAATTAGCCCCTGGAATGTAGAAATTCCCAAGGTCCTGTTCCTGTCCCTATCCTGCAATACAGAAAGTAATTTAATTTAACAAGTGAGTTTATATAGTTTTGTGGGTATATTTTTTGCTTATCTGTGAAAGTTTTTTACCTCCAAAATCCAGCAAATGTTCGAAGACTCATGTAGATAGTCAAAGCAACCCAGATTCCAACAAAACCATTTGTGGAGGAGAGAACAAAGAGACATAGGATGCTGAGAATAGCCACCAAAACCTTAAAAGAAAAAAGAAAAGAATTTAGCCACATTTATGTCTTTCATTTTATATCTTTCATTGCTTGTTATGAGATGAGATAGTACTTGCCATGGAGAATGCTGAATATGCAAAATCAGATGCTCCAAAGTTGACACCGTCGAAAACAAACGCCAAAGCGTTGATGGGTTGAGTAGCTGCAACAAACTGATTTTCAAGTACAAGATATGTTTATTAGTTCCAGCACCATTGAAGAGTGAAAAAAGAAGTAAGGATATTGCTCTTTTCATCTTTTGTTTATAAAAGGAGGAGGAGATACCGGAATCCCTATGCTGATGAGACGGAGAACATTGACATCACTCGTAAACAACTTAGCCCCAAACTGCATTCCCACTCCAAGGAATATCGCAAGCATCAACCCGAGAACCAAGCCTAACTGCAAGTTTAAAGCGCGTTTTTACTTTAGAGAAAATGAAACTACAATGGAAGAAATTTTGTCCTTCTAGAATGCCATTTAGTAGTACCTGTAATACTCTGGATGCAGTGGCAGTCGCCCTGTCGTAGTCTTTTTGCGCAAATGCACTTGCAAGAATAGCCTGAACAAGTCATTCCAAAAGAATAGGGAAGTGAAACATGTTCTTCTCTAGTTCTGTTTTTCATTCTTGGAACAGATTACTAAAAGAGAAAAGCATACATAAATTTCACTTAAAAAGTTTTATTAGGCGTAAAAGTGATGCTAATAAGCAGTTCATAAACAGAGGAAAATTTCTAACCTGACCAGCAACTGCAAGTCCATCAGCAAGAAGAGATGTTGCCAACCAAACCTGAAGGCAGACCTGAAAAGCAGCCATGGATGTCGACCCCTGGCGTGCAGCGAGCGATGCAGCCAGAGTCACACAGAATGTAACGGCCACCACCCTCATTAATAACAGAAAACCTGGAGTTCAAGCATGAAAGAAGAAAGAACTAATGGGCTATCATACTTAGTGACTGTAAAGAGTAAATAGGCCTCCACTTGACGTACATATGTCTAACATTCTTTTAGTTTCATGTTGGTGTTTATTCTCCATTTTTCAAGACAAAGTCTTACCATTTTTGAGAAATCGACCGAATTGAAGGTGTTTGATACTCGGGGGTAAGAGATCAACTTTATCCATGAGTCTCCACAAAAGTATAATTGAAATCAAGTACCTGGCAAAATTATAACAATATGAGACAGTTTTTCAAAATAACAAGAAATAAAACATATATAAAAGTGAGAATTTTTCATGTTTGGTCCAGGATCTAGATAAACTTACTGAGAAATGACATGGGCGATAGCTGCGCCACTGACACCGAGATGAAGAACAAATATGAAGATCGGATCTAAAATAATATTAGCCACATCTCCTGCCACTGATTTTGAAACAGAAACTAAGAATCAGAATTTTTTCTACTAGAGTTGAAAAGATCAAACCACACAAGTTCCAAAGTATTGAACTCCGGAAAATATACCGGTCGCGTATAAAGGTGTTTTTGTATCCTTAAATCCACGGAACACTCCTTGCATTGCTAAAGATAGAAGAACTGCAGGAGCACCAAGGGACCTCAATGTCAAGTACTGCTGTGCATGCTTTAGCATAGGGGAATCCTTCATAGAAACAGCATGAAGTGTTTAGTGACATGTAACTAGAATAACCAGAACTTCGTGTCAACTATAAAGGAAAAGGAAAAATGCAGCAATATAAGTTTATTGAGAACCTACAGAACTGATTCCCATAAAGTTCAGCAGAGGTTTTGCTCCAGATATGAGGAATATAGCTTGAAGCAGGCCAAGGACTCCACCGATCACCATTGCTGATGAGGCTGATGGAATATGTCTTCTCCCAGGCTCGACCGTCTCTATATCAAAGCTTTCACCAGCTGGTTTTGATACTATATTTTGTTAAAGAAGGGAACTGATATAAGGGAAGTTCATAAGCAATAAAAATCTTGCCCAAGTAGTTGCAGAGAAAAATTAGAGGCCTTGGAGAAGTACTTAAGACCTTGCCTATATGGGACATGGAATTATGGAAAAAAGGCTTACCATTTTCTGCTATCAACTGTTGATGTTCAACATTTACAGACGAACCTGCTTCGAGATTCTCACACTCTAGTGTCTCTTCGGCACTTACTCTTCCAATGGTATCTTCTTCCGCAACAAAAGATGTTGTGACACTGACGAGGGGGAATATCGCAATCCGTGACACTTGATTGAACAGAGCAATAGAAACTCCCACAGCAGCAAGCTCCACTGAACCTGAATAGATAAAAAATGCAAGAACAAAGTCTCTCAACCAACTGTATATTGGCCACACCAATTACACAATAAGATATTAAATCCGCAAGAATATTGAAAAAATTCATAAATAAACAATAAAAGGACATACCGATTTGGCCTATGAATGCTGTGTCAACTAGAGAAGCGATCGGATCAGCTGTTAAAGCCAGAGCTGCAGGGAATGCAATAGAAGCTATTTCCAAGCCAAGTTTGTCCAATCTAAAGACGTGTCTGCTCATACAACAGAGAATATATTTTAAGCTCTTACACATCAGTACCCAAAAAAAAAAAAAATGAACAAAACTTCATTTGAAGTTAGTACCTAGCATGCTTAAAGAAGATGCATATAGGAAGTCTCATGTTGTTCTCACATGAATATGAATCATCCTTTTCATCCATCATTTACAAAAGCCAATTCAGCAAAAGTGTCTTCTTTACAAGCAGCGGTTTCTGTACAGCTTGTGAAGCTGAATCGTCAAAAGCCCAATACTAATGCCAGAATTAAAGACAATACCAGAATTTACAAAAGTCTCACAGTGTAGATTATTGAAATTTAGAACATTTAATTTGAAAGCCAAGCCAAGCCAAGCCAAGATGGACAAAAGAATGATAAAGATGCATCTAAGAACAGTTCAAGAACACCAACAGCATTAAGACCAGGCTTCAAATAAAGCGATCAAAATATTAATATTAACCATATCATCAACAAAGAGTTTGGCTACAAAGTTAACCATCTGACAGAGAAACTGGGAAAAAACCAAGTTTTGCCAAAAAGAGAGAATCCATAACTAAGCTACTGAAAAGACCAAATTTTGCTAAGAATGAAAATATCATTTCATCAACACTCATATATCTATATATAAATATAAAAAAAAATCAAAAAAAAAATTCAATGCACCTTTTACTTGCAAGAAATAGGTATTTGGAGAAAGAAAGTTCAATGAAGTTTCCAAAAAAGCTCTATATTCTCGGGGAAAAAAAGTACCTGGAGGAAATTCAACAGGAAGTCCTATGAAGTTTTCCACAATAATCTATGTTTTTCCAACCATGTATTTATAGATTCTTTAGATACTTTGATGTATAATTCAAATCATGAAAGTCTTCAAATCTTGAGTCCAAGGAAGAAACCAAGTATCTGATGTAATTTGGTGTTGAAAGGTCAACAAGCACCAACCCTATATCACAACAATCACTTCACTAGCCTGCTATCTAAAAACTAAATTTAAAGCACACACTAGATTTTTCAACCCCATTGACGTTTTAGCTCTGAATTATTGAATACCCATAAATCATATACCAAATGAGCTTCAAAATTCAAAACCCAGTTGAGAAAAATTGATAAAACTTTTTCAAGAACACAAACATAACTAAATGATGATCTTTCAAGAGAAGGAATCAATCAAGCAAAAAAGGTTGAGGCTAAAAATATGGTAAGCTAAAGAGGTGGCCCACTTGTCAAAGAAAATCATTGAGGGCTTTCCATATTCCACAAAAGCTGGTTTTGCAGCATGTTTCACAACACCAAAACTGCCACGGAAGCCATAACAATGCGGCTCTACCGGCTTCAAGAGAAACGTCTATTAAAAGGGCCACTGCATGCTTATGAATGAATGCCACGTGTCCAACACTGACTTTCATAATGATGCTTAATGCATCACAGGTATGGAAAACGACAATTAAGAAAGCAAAAGAGCGAACAATTTTCTTTTGAAAAATTGTTCTTTTTTTTTGTCGCGAGGGATTGAAAAATTGATTAGCATGCAATATTATAATTAATGTTTAATTATAAATTTAGTACGAGTTTAAAAATACTCTTTAATATAATATTATTTATTGTGTGAAATTTTTTATACTTTATATTTTGAGTAAATTTCTTACTAAATATATCATAAGAAAAATTTAACATTTAATTGTTATTAATTAAAATATTTATTTTTTTAATGTAAAAATAATCAACAAAGCATAAAATTTACAGAGAATATTGCTATTAGTTAGATGTACAGTGAAAGTTTTAATTTAAATATAAAATAAAATTTAAATTTATGTTTAGTAAGGGTGAAAAGCATAGAGAGTAGTCATTTTGTACTGTTTAAAAATGATTTGAACGGTTGAATTTGAAGACATAGCTAAACTCTAAATTGTGTTGTTTAACTCAGTTTAAATAGAAAATATAATTCAAACTATATACTTATTAAGTTAAAAGGTTCTCTAAAAAAACGTGTTGATCTAAAAGATAAACTGCACACCTTTAAAAAAAATCAATCAATATAAATTTAAGTACGCTTCCGTTTACAAATTTATTAATACTTAGACCTCGTTCACTTCATGGATTTGAGTTTTCAATTCGAGCTGAGATGTGACATTTTCTGAGAGCTTTTTACTGTAACAAAAAAAGTTAGATGTGACATTTTTTGATAGTTTTTTACTGTAAAAACTTAAAATTAAAAACTCGAATCGGTGAAATGAACGATGCCTTAATAATTTAACATGAATATTTTTAACTTTTAGATGATGATTTTTACCAAATTATTAATTTTTTAACGAGTGATATCAGAATCTTTTCCTGTTAAATCTCCATGGGTCTTGAAATGTTTCTAAGATATGCAACTAAGCAGTCCCTGAGACCAATCTCCATGGATCTCCAAGACCAATCTTCGTGGGTCTCTGAGACCAATCGCCGAAGCTCGTAGAGGCTGATCTCGCCGGAAACCCGCCGTTGTTAGGTGGCGAGCATGAGTAGCACGACCCCCCATTTTCGCCAAGGTCTTCGACGGCGAAGTAGGGGGGCGGTAAGACCTGGGCACTAAGGGTGGGAGTGGGGGAATCTGGGCTGTGGGATGAACGCCAGGGTGGGGGGTTGATGGAGTTTCTTTGATCTGGGTTTTTGGAACAAGATCTGAGAAATATGGATGAGCTTTTTTATTTTTTATTTTATTTTTTTAAAATCTTTTATTTCATTGTATTAAATATAATTATGAAGCAAAATAAATAGAAAGGTAATTTAGACACGTTATATTTTAAAAATCGATTTCAAGGTATCCAAAAAATATTTTTCAAAACGTTGATGTAGCATTTTAATATTATTAAAAAATAAAATATAAAAATTATGGGCCTGTTTGTTTGTGTTTTCATTTTCATTTTTCACGATTTTCAAAGCAAAAAAATGAAAACGGGTGTTAAAAACGTGTTTGGTGCAAATTTTTTTTAAAAACAAAACCAAAAACGTTTTTGTCTTTTTGTGGAAATCAGAAAATGAAAAAAAAGTGTTTTCATTTTCTCGTTTTCGTTTTCTGTTTTCTGAAAACGGATTTCACTTTTTTTTTTTTTTTTCATTTTCTTCCCTCTTTTCTGAAATTTTGTATTATATATGTTTATTTAATATAAT